GCTCTTTCCTCTATTTCCTTTGACTTTCCTCTTGTCCCACTATCATGCTCAGTCTTCATTTGGGTTTCAGAAATTCCTCTTGGTTACATTACCCTTGATTGGACTAGGGTTTTTCAATAAGGTTTAAGTTGTTATCTCATGGATTCTGACTCACAGAGACCAATTAAGTAAACAGCCCCAGAGGGTTTTTAGGCTGTAGCCCTCATGGACACAGGCTGTCAGGGCTCTTTTCCCAAGGAGCAGCTGGGGGGTTCAAACTGCCAACCTTTTGGTTAGCACTCAACGCTTTACCACTGCACCACCAGGGCTCCTAAGACTGAAGTAGAAGACGTGTAATGCTCAGCCTGTGGTCCCCTCCATGCGTGTAGAATAATGGAATCAGGAAGCTGGGGTGACTCCTGTGGGTGCTCGTTCATTAGGCAAGGTCTTTTGCTCTTCACTCCGGTGTTTGATCGGGTAATTATACCTGTCTTACAGGACTGTTCGGTTTTAATTAGGGAACATTTATAACAGTGCCTGGCCCACAAAGGGCATTCCATACAGCCAAGACAGCTCAGGCTACCCCCATGCTTAGGATCTTCTGTGAACACAGACAGAAAGCCCCAGTCCAGGCACAGCCTCACAGTTTGGCAAAGCCCAGACAGGTCTCTGAACTTGACTGAAATCCCAGGTCCCGTGGATCAGAAACCTGTTCCTGCCCACATAGATGATACTTCCTGTCTGCTTGCTGGCTTTCTCAGCACAGTCTAGATGTGCATTTGAACCCGAGGCAGGTTTTGGGAACAAAGAGCTCGCACACATGGCTTGTAAAAACTCCTAGTGACTGCTGCGTCCTCCGTGCATGAATCTGCCTTCCTCTCCTGTTGTTGGTAGGTGCCATCGAGTCCGTTCCAGCCCCTAGTGACACAATGGAGCAAGACCCTGCTCCATCCCGCACCAGCCTCAGAGCGCTTCCTGAGCTGGAGCCCGCTGCTGCAGCCACAGTGTCAGGCCCTCTCCTTGAGGGTCTTCCTCTTTTACACTGACCTTCTGCTTGACCAAACACGATGTCCTCCTCCAGGGACTGGTCTCTCCTGACAACATGTCCAAAGTACACAAGATGAAGTCTCACCATCCCTGTCTCGAAGGAGCTCTCTGGCCACCCTTCGTCCAAGACAGATCGGCCGGTCCTTCTAGCAGTCCCTGGTACGTTCAATCTTCTTCTCCAGCACCGCCATTCAAATGCATGCATTCTTCTCCGGCCTTCCGTATTCAATATCCAACTTTCACAGGCACCTGAGACCATGGAGAACGCCATGGCTGCGGCCAGGCGCACCCTAGTCCTCAAAGCGGCATACCTGCTCTTCAACACTCCAAAGAGGTCTTGTGCGGCAGATTTCCCCAGGGCAGCGCCTCTGTGGATCTCATGACCATTCGTTTCCTCATACCTCAAAACATCTCAAGGCTGTTTGTGATTTCACAGGAGCCCATGAGAAAAGGCCATGGACTGTAGACTATTGAATGGAACCAGTCATTTCCAGGTGTAGGGTCCCTGGATGGCACAGTTAAGCACCTGGCCATTCACCGAAAGATTGGCTGCTCATCCCGCAGAGGGACCTTGAAAGCCAGACCTGGCCATCAACTGCTGGAAAATTAGTCTTCAAACCCCAAGGAAGCCCAGGTCTATGCTGACAACACGGCAGGGTCACTAGGAGTTGGGATCAACTTGATGGCAACTGGTTTGTTGTGTTTTCTTTCATTTCAGTGGGGTGGTTCCCCTCACCCGAGGAGCACTTGCAGTCATCATCACAATGATGATGATGATGATGATGAGGTTGATGACCTCATTTCATCCCAGTGTGCTGGATCTACCCACTTTTCACTCCGTCATGTCGCACGCCACCCTCTGCTCTGCCTCCTCTCCTCTGTGGTAGTGTCTTTGGTGTAGGAAATCGCTCAATGCCCCCTGTATCATCCAGTCACAGGCAAAAAAAAGAGGAGAAAGAGAAAAGGGAAGGTGAGAAGAAGGAAGACGGTCCATAAGTACGGAGAGAAGTTGCCTTCAACATAGGGCCCAGTGTCACAGCACAGCCAAGGGAGTCCTGTCCCGACCTCTCCTCTGCCCGTGGGCTGTCTTCTCGGGCCTCAGCATCAGTGCTGGAGGGGGCAGTGCTTAGGGCTGGAGGACCAACGTGAGTCAGTCCCAGGCTGAGGATCAGGAGAGGATCCTGTTCTTACAGGTAAGGAGGGTTTGCTGTAGACTCAAGGGAGCAGCTCGTCCAGTTCCTTGGGACCTACTCAGTGGCCCCAACAAGCACAGGGAGCCAGCCAGCCACAGCATGCTCTGGCACTGGAGGATAATATATGCACATACCCTAATCCAAACCCAGAGGTGAGGAGAACGTTAGAGAACATTCTAGAGACCAGTGTGCACACTTGTGTTTGCTGCATCCTCGAGAACAAGCAAGAAGGCACCTGGGACACCACCCCCCCACCCCCACCCCACCCCCCCGCACTGTGTGTGTGTGTCTGTTTTCAGGAAGAAGAGAGAGGCCATCGTGGTGGACCCCTCCAGCAGTGTGTACTACCACTGGCTGGCTGCCATCGCCGCTCCTGTCTTCTACAACTGGTGCATGCTGGTTTGCAGGTAGGGCCAGGGGGTCCCTCCAGGAGGGGCAGGGGTGGAGGGCCAGGAGAGAGAGGGACTGAGGGGAGCCTGGCCAGGAGATTCTGAGTGCTTGCACCTGGGGTTCTCCATCTGCAAAACAAAGAGGCTTTAAAGGAGGACTGTTGGGTGGTGGAGACCCTCCCTGATCACAGCAAGGCTCCTGGCCCTTTGGGGCATGTTTAGACAAATGGTAGAAAGAGGGCAGGGACAGGAGCTGATACTCTTTGGGTGGGTGTGCATTTTGGAGCATGCTGTAGGACAGGACGGGGTGCAGGGGGTGAGGGACCTTCTCAGAGTGAGAGGTGGGTACTTAGAGACTCCCTGAGCAGGCCTGCAGGGCGGGTGGGGGTGGGGGTGCAGAGACAAACTCCAGCCTGAGGGTGATTAGGGACTGGAGTTGGGCTTTAGACTAAGATACACAGGGAAACCGAAGCTCTCTTGCAGATAGCATGAGCTTTGGGGGCTTCCTGTACCAGCTTGTAGGGTGGGCTTCCAGGGAGGACAAACCAGGGGTCTCTGGAGTGCTCCTGAGCAGGTTTGCAAGACAGGGCTGGGGAGATCCGTCTCCCCAGAGTAAGCAGAGGGCTTCGGGCCCTTCGCAGCAGACTTGCCAAGAAAGGTTCAGGGACCAGCTGCCACCTGATGGAGGGTAAGCAGCGTGTCTGGAGGCTCCGAGCTGCCCTGCAGGGTGGGGACTCTGGATCCTGCTGACAGTGGGATGGAGGTGTAGACAGGACAGGTCTGGGGCAGCTGGGAGCCAGCTGTGGGCAGCAAGGCAGGCAAGTTGCTGCTCTCCCAAGGGTAGGCAGGCGATGTGGGTGCTCCTGGCCAAGTGGCAGCCCTGAGACTCAGGGACAAGCTTCTGCCCTTCAGAGAGGACAGTCACTGGGAGGGGGTGTGGTGCGCGGCGCATTCTTGAGTGAGCTTGCCGGGGATTTCTGCTCTTCTGAGCAGGGGCTTTGGAGGGTTTCTGAACAAGCCCTGGGATCAGGGATCCAAGGGCAAGACGCCAGTCTACTCAGAGCAAGCAGCGAGCAAGAGACTTCCCTAAGCAAGGTGTGACACACGCCGCTAACACCTCGGCTGCTAGTGGAGAGGTTAGAGGTTGGAGTCCATCCTGAGAGGCCCTGGGAAAAAGGCCTGTGGTCTACTTCTGCAAAAACCTAGCGGAGCATGGTCCACTCAGACACACTTGGGGCTCCCAGGAGTCAAGTCAACTCCATGGCCATTGGTTGCTTTTCTAAGCAAAAAGCAGTGTGGGATGTAGGGGCACACGGCTACTCTGTGAAGGGAAGCAAGCAATGTGGGGTGCTTCCTAGCATGCCAACAAAACAGGGTTGTCAAGGGGAGGGCTTGGGGGCTTTCCTAAGTGAGTCTCTCATGGGGCTTTGGGGCTGCCCTGTACGCTCTGTGGGATCCAGAGGCAGGCAGAGGTGTCGCTTGCCGAGTGGGGCTTCCCAAGCTGGCCAGACAAGGATGAAGGAGTGAGTGTCACTGAGACTCGTCTCTATGTGAACATTAGGCTTGGTGGCTTTCCCAGAGCAAGCTGGCAGAACAGGGGGTTGGGTGAAGGGGATGCTGAGGAGACCTGCTGCTCTCAGGGTGTCAGGGAGGAGGGGTGGATGAACTGAGGAGCCTGCAGAATGGGAAATGCCATCTCCTGCACTTGCTTCTGAAGGCAAGAGGGGCCAGGCAGGCAGGACGCTTTCCTACAAGCCTGCAAGGCCAGGCTGCGGGCACTAGGAGCTGTCCATCTGCAGGAAGGGAGCAGGCTCCAGAGTGTTCCTGAGCAGGGATATGGAGACCAGCTCCTGCTCTCTGAAGCTGTAACAAGGGTGTGGACCATGCCAAGATTATATGAGGAAGAGAGAATAGAAGGGGCTAGAGGACAGATGCTGTTCACCCGCCTGCTTAGTGGCTGACGACTCCGAAATTCTCAGTTTCGTTGCCACTGTACTCCAGAGATCTAGCCCCATTCCCGGACTGCATCCGTGCGACCCAGCGCCCCTCCCATCCCTTGCTGCTGAGAGGCAATGGGCTGCCCTTCTTGGCCAATTCCAGCTTTTTCTTGTGAAGAGCTCTGTGACCTTGAGAAAGAAACACCCCCCGGAGCCTGGGTGTCTCCTCAGAAGCTGGGTTAGTGACCCAGGCAGGCTGTCCCCAGGAGTGAATACTGTAGGATTGGCAACACCAAACCGGGGCTGCCCATGGCATGGGCTCCAGACCCAGTGATCTGTCTCCCTCTTGACTTAGGGCCTGCTTTGATGAGCTGCAGTCCGAGCATCTGATGCTGTGGCTGGTCCTGGACTATTCGGCAGACATTGTCTATGGCCTGGATGTGCTGGTGCGAGCCCGGACAGGTGAGCGAGCCCAGGGGCGGGACTTATCTAGGGTAGGACACAGACCCCACAAGGTGCAATGGAGGGGTGTGCGTGCATGCGTGCCTGTGTGCACATGGGCATGGGCACCCCAAGGTGTGTTCAGGGAGATCCAAAATGCTAGATTGGATCATTCCAACCTCTGCCAGGGAGAACCCAGGGAGAGAGTGGCTGGTACCTCTACAAGCTCCCTCTGCCAGGTGCCTCAGTCCTAAGTCAGACACCTGCTTCTGGTCATTCTTCTGCCCACTAGCTGTGCGGCCTTGCGGTCAAGCTGTCTCAGTGGGTCTTGTTTGTATCTCACGTGGCATAAGACCACTCACCCCAATCTCAACGGACCCAGCTGGCGACTTGACCTTGCAGGAGGCAGAGGGAGTCCGTCTTGGAGTCTGACTTTCTGGGCAGTCGGAGGAGCCGCGACATGTTCCTCTGTGGCTTCTAGAGAAGTTTTAATATCACAATAACTAACCAGCTAACCAGTGAAAGGAGTCCCTGTCTTGGCTGCTAAAAGTTGGGGTAGAGGGGTGGGGGAGTGGGGGTGTCAAATCCAGGCAGAGGCACCTTAGAAGAAAGTCCTATCTGCTTCTGAAAATTCAGCCCCGGCAAAGCCTGTGCGCACAGTTCTATGTGGGCCCTATGCCACGACTTCTGCTAAACCTGAAACAAGGGCCAGGCGAGTGGCAGCTTCCTTCGGTCCAGTGTGGGTGAAAACCCAGCCCACGCCTCTAGCTCCAAGCCAGGCCCTCGTGGGGCAGCTTTTTCTAAATTGCACACAAGCATCCCCTACCCCGGTCAAGGCCCTGCTTATCACGTACAAGGTGTTTGAACTAACAGCTGTGCGCTTGTTCTCCATGTAAATGGTGCCGGAGCGTCATGTGCGGTTGAACAGCTACCGTCCTCTGGGTTGTTCCGGGACTCACAAAAGATTTGCAGGCCCAGCCTGCTTTCCTCCGATCGCTGCCGCGGGAAATAAGAAAGCCAGGCAGGACCTTTCCACTTCTCGGATTCAAAACCAGGGCCCAGAGACATTTGGCGACATGTCCATAGTCCATAGTCAGTGATCTGCTGAGCCAGGTTCGAGCCCCACCCTCTGGCACATTGTCACCTTAGAGACTTTGAGGATGACCCTTGAGGCTTGCCTTGGCCACATGCTGCTGCTACTCCCCGGCCAGGTAGGCCATCGCAGATCCTCAGTTCCACACGGGGATGCTGGGCGCCACTGTCCATGGTCTCAAGCTGCGGTGGACCACCCTGGTCAGTCTAAGGGTCGGCGGAGAGCTCAGGGTGGGGGTGTCGGGGCTCCTCCTTGATGCCCCTGTGACCTTCCTCTTCCGTAGGCTTCCTGGAACAAGGCTTAATGGTCAAAGATGCCGAGAGGCTGTGGAAACACTACACAAAGACCATTCACTTCAAGCTCGACGTGTTGTCTCTGGTCCCCACCGACCTGGGTTACTTCAAGCTGGGCATGAACTATCCCGAGCTGAGGTTCAACCGCCTTTTGAAGCTTCCCCGGCTCTTTGAATTCTTTGACCGCACAGAGACGAGAACCAACTACCCTAACGTGTTTAGGATCGGGAACCTGGTCTTGTACATCCTCATCATCATCCACTGGAATGCCTGCATCTACTTTGCCATCTCCAAATTCATTGGTTTTGGGACAGACTCCTGGGTCTACCCAAACGTCTCGATCCCAGAGTATGGGCGCCTCTCTAGGAAGTACATTTACAGTCTCTACTGGTCTACTTTGACCCTGACCACCATCGGGGAGACCCCGCCGCCCGTCAAAGACGAGGAGTATCTTTTTGTGGTCATAGACTTCCTGGTGGGCGTCTTGATTTTTGCCACCATCGTGGGCAACGTGGGCTCCATGATCTCCAATATGAACGCCTCGCGGGCCGAGTTCCAGGCCAAGATCGATTCCATCAAGCAGTACATGCACTTCCGAAAGGTGACCAAGGACCTGGAGACTCGGGTCATCAGGTGGTTCGACTACCTGTGGGCCAACAGGAAGACAGTGGATGAGAAAGAGGTGCTCAAGAACCTCCCGGACAAGCTGAAGGCCGAGATCGCCATCAACGTGCACCTGGACACCCTGAAGAAGGTCCGCATCTTCCAGGATTGTGAAGCAGGCCTGCTGGTGGAGCTGGTGCTGAAGCTGCGGCCTGCTGTGTTCAGCCCTGGGGATTACATCTGCAAGAAGGGCGATATCGGGAGGGAAATGTACATCATCAAGGAGGGCAAGCTGGCTGTGGTCGCTGAGGATGGGGTCACCCAGTTTGTGGTCCTCAGTGATGGGAGTTACTTTGGGGAGATCAGTATCTTAAACATCAAGGGGAGCAAGTCAGGGAACCGCAGAACAGCCAACATCAGGAGCATCGGTTACTCTGACCTCTTCTGCCTCTCGAAGGACGACCTCATGGAGGCCCTGACGGAATACCCAGAAGCTAAGAAGGCGCTGGAGGAGAAGGGACGGCAGATCCTCATGAAGGACAACCTGATCGACGAGGACCTGGCTGCGGCTGGGGCAGACCCCAAGGACATCGAGGAGAAGGTGGAGTGCCTGGAGTCCTCCCTGGACACGCTGCAGACCAGGTTCGCGCGGCTGCTGGCCGAGTACAGTGCCGCCCAGATGAAGGTGAAGCAGCGGCTCAGCCGGCTGGAGAGCCAGCTGAAGACTTGTGGCAACAGCTTCCCATCTGCTGGGGCTGCTGCCGGGGATGCTACCGAAACAGAGGGCATGCTCCAGTGAGAATGCAGGGGTCTGTCCCCTGTCTCACCTGGCCCATTGTCTGTGTGAGCATTCCCTGGCCGGTCCGCAGTGCTCGGCCTGGCCAGGGCGGCATTCTAGCTTGACCACTCTTTGTGAGCCAGGTGCTCTCGGGAGAGAGCCTCGGGGGCCTCATCCAGAAGAGAGGACTCACGATGTCGGCCTCCGTCACGTGGCACATTAGGGCGAGGCCCACGTGGAAACGGCACGAGGAGGCCTTGGGACAGGGCGAAGGAGCCCCGACCCAGTCCAAGTGTGTGCAGTTGTGCACGTAGGTTGCGCACATAGAACTCCGGTTATTGTTTTGGTGGTTTTTTTTAGGGGACCCTTCGGGAGTTTTTAGACTTTGTGACTTGTACAAAGGACTATTTTCTCGCCAGTGGGACGTGAAATAGTCCTCACCTCACTTTGCACCTTCTGAAAATGCAGGGTTAAAAGAAAGCTGGCTGCACGATTCAGGCCCTCAACTTCAACCATACACGAGCTGGTTTGGGAGCCTATTTCTGATTCGAGTGCCCCTGGAGGCCCTAGAAACCCTGGTGTTGAGGCCTGGGATGAAGAGGAGTCGCCCCACCTCAGATCCTTGAAAGCAACCAGGACTCCCAGCCATTTGTACTCCGTGAGACCTGAATCTGATTCACTGACAAGAGAAGCTCCCTTAGGAAAGACCGCCCCTTCTTCTCACTTGCCAAAGGGAGTCACAGAGAAGCCTCTGTCCTTGGCTCTGGGCACAGCCGATTCTGGCTCCAAGAGGAGCGCTGTGTTCAGGGAGAGCCTTTTGGGTTGGAGGCTGGAATGGTGTCGAAGCCAAACACAGATGACAGGCACTTTCAGAAGCTGAGATCCTCAAGCCATATCTTTGCAAACTTCACGTTCACTCGCTGGAGAGAAAGACTCACCCCTTCTTGGAATCACATCCTGCCACAACAGCTCTTAGCTTGCAGATTGCAAAGCCTCGCTTTGTCTTTTTAATCCAGTAAACAGAATTCTACCACCGTCTTCAAACATTTATACAGTCGAATTCTGTTGAATAAAGGACCTCGATTTCCCGGTCAATCACTCAAAGACAGGCATTGAAATGACACAAAATGAGTCATTTGCTTAGTGTAAAACACAAACATGTATACAGAGTTTGTCTTTTATTTTATTTTCTTCTTTCTCCTTCCTTCTCTCTCACCCTTCTTGCGTTCTCCACCTCTCCTTTAAAAAAATTGCTCCTCTCTGCCTCATCCTCTTTCTTCTTTTTTCCATCTGAAAGGATGCCCTACTTTGCTTTGACAACTTTGGACTCCTTGCAGGCTGGCGTGTTCATCCATAGTCTCTGTACCTGGGCCCTCAGCTGCCGTTCATGCGGAAGGTGCTTCATTTCCCAATATGTGGTTTGGACGTAGATGTGTCTCTTCTGCTTTTTATCATAAATCACTGTACTATCTTAATTTTTTTAATGAATCTTACAAGGTTTATAAAATGAAAGTGTGACCTTCATTCACATCACCCACAAAAATGTAACTAGCAAAGATTGCTCAGCGTATGTATATTTTAAAAGCCTTAACTATTAACTACGCCTACATTCATATTTGCACCAGAAAAATAAAGACCCGGATTAAAAAGCAAAATGTCAAGTGGGTCCTGTCTCAGATCTTGGCACAAGGGAAGATTCAGGTGCAGGGTCTCTTTCGAAGGCAATTGGCCTGGGCTTCCTAGAGGGAAGAGGAACCGACACTCCATATGAGACAGAGCCAGTGAGAGAATGCTACCAAACCTGCAAGCATTTGTCAGAGAAATCACCAAAGCCTTGAACTATAACACAAGTGTGGCCCAGCCAGGACGATCTGTTTGCTGGCCCCACTTGTCCAGGGCCACCGTGGGCCGTGATGGAGCCGCTGGGGAAGGCATGGGGGGCAGGAACCTGGCGGACGTCCTAGCTAAGAACCGCTCCGGCTCTTCCCATCGCCGGTGCTCAAGGAGGAGGTTGAGAGTGGGCTCTGGAGTCAGGGTGGCTCTTGTTCAAAGCACAACCCTGACTCCTGCTGCTTGGGCAAGGACGGTGCCTCTTGTGGGCCTTACTTTCCTCACCTGGAAAATGGGAATGGCACAGCCTACCTCACGGTGTTATTGAAAATGAACGCAAACTAACCCATGCTGGTAGCGATGACTTGTGAAACCACTTGGGTTCAGAAAATAGCACATGATTTTCCTAGAGGAATAGACAAATACAGTTTAATTTAGTCCGCCTCAGCTGCTGGGGCTGTTGGACCGGCGAGTCTCAGTTGCTCTCAGGACCCCTTAAAACCCGGGAGGATTTACAGCTTCAGAACCTGTGGCTGCCTCTGGAGATGGCCCCTCTCTGTTTCAGGTTCAGTGGTGGGGACTGATGCTGGGCGTCAGCTTCTTTTCATATGTTTTGTGGAAATCTAAGTTCCTTGAAGTGTGTGTGTGTGTGTGTGTGTGTGTGTGGTGTGTTTCTCTCAGGACAGCGTCTTCTGGACAGGGAAGGAGAAGATTGTTATTGGTGCTATTTGAAGTGGAAACCCATGCAAGGTCCCTGGCAGAGCTCGGAGGAGGTGGGAGAGGACAGGGCCTTGAAGGATGGGGCTGGAGTCTAGGTTCTGGAGAACCTAGCTGGGCCAAGATCCCAGAGTCCCTACACTTGAAAGTCCTAAAGCTGCCAGACTTCAATGACTCAAGCACATACAAACAACATCTTAGCAGGAACCAGTGTCGGAGTATCTGAAAAATACTTGTGACTCAACTGATACATCAACAGAGAAGTCCATTCCCTCCACACAAGTTTGATGCTACCTATTCTCAAAGTTAACATTGTCAGGAGTTGACAGACTGCTTTGTCAGGCAAACTCTGGTCCATCTCAGACTCTCCTGTTAGGATTTTCTCAATAGGAAACCCTTCTCCTATGAGGCTTGGGGACTGTTCCTCTTACCCAGAAGTGAACAAAACGGAGAAGGAGCGTGCCTCCCTGAAGTGAGGGGAACAGATCTGTCAAGTCAAGTTGAAAGTCCTCATGGAAGGATGCAGACATTTAACTTCTAGGTGCACACCATAGGAAAGCACCTAGCGATGTGTACTAATGCTTGCCACAGCTTAGCTATTAATGCTCCCAATTGAAAATGACCTAAATATCAGCAGACAAACCGGGAAAATAGCAAACTGAGTGTTTCAGCAAAGAGAATCGAATGCAGGGAATTGAGCAGTGGTGCGAGTGGACTCAAAGAGCTGAAATCCAAGAAACGGACCATCCGACATGCTGGTTAGGATGTAGAACAATAGGAGCTCTTATTCGCTGCAAAATGGTACATTTTGAGAGATAGTTTGGCAGTTTCTTAGGAAATCAAACATACTATGCCACCCAACAGGCACGCGCTAAGAGAATTAAAGACGCATGTTCACACACAGGGAGACACCACATCACCCCCCCTAGGATGGCTCAATATATTTTAAATTAATGTTAGAGCGTATGTGAAGAAATTGGAACCCACATCCACTAATAATGGGATTGAAAATAACATAGACATGGTGAAAAATAGTTTGGGGGTTTGTTCCTCCAAAAGTTCATCATGGAAATACCATATGATCCAGTAATTCTGCTCTTAGGTGCATGCCCAAGAGACTTGCAGGCAGCCACATGGAAACAGACACATGCCCACTATTTGCAATAGCTAAAAGGTGGAAACAACCTAGCTGTCCATCAACAGATGAATGGATAAATCAAATTTAGTGCATGTACAGGTAGCTCTGGCAACTCTATCTTAAGTCAGTTCTGATCTATGTCAAATGCCTGTTTGTTTTGTTTTCATTATTACTGCTTTTATTATCCGTATCTTTATAAATCCAATGTTTGAACATCTATGAGTGAATATCTAAGAATGATAACATTTTGTGATAAGAGTTATACGAGCCCCCGATAAAATGATTTTTTTAAAAAAGAATGATAACATCAACAAATTACCCGCTGAATGATAAGATGTACAGAAAGACCAAAATCAGAGAGAGGGAGATTTGGGGTGGGGAGGAAGGATGGAGGCAGGGGAAAACATTGACTGGGGGAACTTGCAAGAGTTAAAGGTCATGAGGCAAATACTGAATCTGCACAATCCTGCAATAGCAGTGATTGATGAGCGAGTGCTTGGATAGACCTGCAGGTTGAACGGGTGTGGGAGGAATAGAAATATGCTCGTGAATATAGATAGATCTGACAGAGGAGATTTGTAGATGTCTATTTATTTTTGCTGCAAATATACCCATGAATGTGGTAGAACCCACAGGAGATAAAGTTATGAAAACTTCTTCCAAACAAACCAACCCCCTGCAAAAACACCAAGACACCTCACTGCTGTTGGGTCATTTCTGTCTCAAAGCAACCCCACAGGACAGAGGAGAACTGCCCCTTTGGATTTCTGAGGTTACAAGTCTTCTTCACGCAGAAAGCCTTCTCTCTCTCCCATGGGGCGACCTTGTGGTTAGTAGCCCAAAGTGCAGCCTGCTACATCACCAGGACTTCTTCGATGTAACCAAACACCATGAAGGAATGTGTTGGTGAGCCGGGGGGATCAAGACCATCATCTGGTTACACACCAAGGTCAACTGGCAGAACATAGTCCACAAAGACAATGCTCTACATCCCACTTGGCTTCAACGCTTGTGAGCAGCCATCTAAGGTGCACATATTGATCTCTACTTGTCCGGAGGACAGAAGAAGGATTAAAATAGAAAGACACGGGGAAACAATTCCCCCACCATCCTAAGGAACCACACAAATATCCCTCTCTCTCGACAACAGTGAGAACAGAAGAATAGGTGGTCCCCAGCTGCCAACACCAACTGCTCTGAAATGGGCCACATTTGTAGGTCCTAGATGGAACTGAACTCAAAAGGATAATAATCATCAAAGACCAGGCTGACCGGTCGGATGGAGACCGGTGGAATTCCCAAGACTGTGGCCCCTTTGGTCATCCTTCAGGTCTGG